GATGTACGACAATGCCATCAACACCTCACCACCCTCCAGCCATGGTAAGCCACTACCTTTACGCGAAAAGTCATTGAAACTTATAGTATACGTATTTCATGCAGAAATGCATATATGGCGAGCGCCGCCAAAAGTTTTCAGCGGAATTTCTGGAAGGAATAGGTCATCCTTATAAGGGTGAAATATTGACAATTTTTCACACTTGATTCGCACGATTTGAAATTTTACTATTGCTGACCTCTAATTTCAGATGTTGATCAAATCGGAATATCCACCAGTTGCACTTCCCACTGCTCCATTTCACGAAACTCTTCTCAATGCTATCAAGGGACATATGGAGAGCGAAAAGAAAACGGCATTCGTAATTTTCTGGATTTCTTGACATTTATACTTTTACTTTTTCGTGCGTAAACTCTCTCCTTACCTTACGGTAACAGCAGGGACGAGCGTGAGCGCTTTATACCCGATACTTGTCCTGATAGTTGCTTCTATTAACGCAGGCAGAGCTCATAGCTAGCTGCTGTTTTCTCCCTGTTTGGTACTACTCAGCTCTCTCACAGGTGTCTGTCGGAATTGCGCACGATTTAGTGTACAGCTCTACTATGAACGCAATAGAATTTTATTCTCCCCGGACCAGCCTCGGGGTAAATAGACATGCATCTGGGGATTCCTTTGCATAGCTATTCATCTCTATAAGGTCAATCCCGGGTAAGGGAAGCTCCAGAACTTGTCGGTTTTGGGCCAATTTGAAGTCATGTAGAACGGGTGTCGCCATGAAAAAAAAGAGGTCTCGTACTGGCATAGTGCAGGCAGGAGCCGCAAGAAATGAAAAGGACACAGCGATATCATTCAAGTTTTCAGGTCGACGTGATGCTCATAAGATTTTCGAAGGTCCATGATGACTATTGATCTAATATCCCATCTATTTAGAAATGGCAGAGAACCTCCTCACCCTCCTCTCCGCTCTGTGATGCCCTTTTACACTTTCCAACCTCACAGACTCTCAGTAACAGCTGATCACCATCTACACTATTCTGTGGCGTCTAGTGAATCGCAGAATCCATTACTTCCATAGCATAACCGGATTACGTTCAGTAAAGACTCATCTGAAATTAAGGTATCCGCTGAAACCAGCAGAGAAGTGACCTTCAAGGATATTTACGATTTATCTCACTCTGTCGCTTCATTTCTCCATAAGAAGAACTTTCGGGTTGGTTGGCTTTTACAATTCATCAATTGCGTGGGAGCTATCGCAAGATATTCTCTAGGATTTAGCCTAGAAGGGGCAGGAACTTCGAAGAAATAAAAATTCCCGAGCTCAGCAGGCAGCTTCCTCCTCTACGCCTAGGGCTCGTTTCGTTACGAAAAAATAGTTCACGTGGCTTCCAATTGCATTACCAGTGAAATGCCCCCACATTCTGCGATAGCGCCTGTGCGTAATATAGGATAATTATACAACTTTCGGTTAGTCTGTGACATCCTTTACACTTTTTTCTCATCTCGCAAAAGACCCTTTGCAAACGACATCATTCTTGTAGAGAGATGTGGCCTGTATGGTTATGCCAAATCACTGGGTCTGGGCACCGTTCTTCCTTGGAGTCACGATGAACGGCGGTACTCTGACTGGATTCAACCCAGCAGCGACCGAATGTTAGTGAGATTTTTGTCAGTATAGTCATGACCGATTGCTAGGAAATGATTCCCGACAAAAGAAATGTCGGCACTATTTACCCTTTACTGCCCCAAACCTCAAGAACTGAGCCGGATTTTGATCGAAATTTGTCCATGACTAAGATTTGGCTAGAAAGTTGTCTCTGGGGGTATTTCAACCCGTAGAACACGAATATTTTACCGGTTTAGCGCGAAAACGCTTGGCGCCCGCGCCACAGGCGCCGGCGCTATCACAACAGTTTTGCGCGGGCGCCCGTAGCGCAGGCTACAGGCTCACTCGTAACAAACTGATGTGATATCATGTTCTACGGGTCAAAATACCTCTGAGGACAACTTTCCAGCGAATTTGGTGATCCGAGATGTTCTGGCGCCTTTTGGCGCCGGCGCTTCTGGCGCGAGCGCCAGGCGTTCTAGCGGTAAACGAATGTGATATTCGTGTTCTACGGGTCAAATTACCCTCGAAGACAACTTTCTAGCCAAATACAAAGTTTCGATAAGGATCCGGCTCCTGGAGGAGTGGGGCAGTAAAGGCTAAATGGTGCCAAAAAGTCTAAATTGAAGTACAGAGTTCGGCCTATCGTTTTTGTGTGTTCACAAGTTATTGACTTGGACTCTGCGCAGGCAGGACGAGCATGCGGTCAGCGTTATCCAACGCGCTGTCGAGAGGACGATGCTAGGAGTAACCCTATACACGCAAGTGCAGAGGGGAATCCGGAGTGCCGAACTACGCCAACGATCGAAGATCAGGGACGCTGCCGTTTTCGCCAAGGAATCGAAGATAAGGTGGGCCGGACACGTCATGCGATTTTGCGATGACCGTTGGACCAGAGCGGTTACCGACTGGATCCCTCGGGACGTCAAACGAACACCTGGACGACCGCCGGCCCGATGGTCAGACTTCTTCACGAAAGCTCTGAACGAAAGGAATGAATGGACTTCGTGTCCCTCGAGCAAGGAGGATCCACTGGACCACTCTAGCACGCGACAGGGACGAATGGAGACGTTGCTGGCGCCCGCTCGAGCAATTCGATGATCAACGGGACGACAGGTGATAACAGGTGATACAGTGTTTGCTATAACTTCGTGTTCTTATATTCCCGTTCGCAGAGCTGTTTGTTAACTCCGCGATAAGCCAGCACATGAACTGGGGGTTTCACCGAACCAGTTATTGAACCGAACCACACAGCACATCTATTAAGACAAATCCGTTAATAGTAGCGATCCGAGCATGAACTAAAAGCCTCTGATTTGCGCAGCATTCTCAGTCGAGAGCCCTACAAGTGCTACTGTGGTCCTGCCAGGCCATTACTTTCCTCCTCCAAGAATTTGTTAGGTTTGAAAAAACTGCATTTATACATTCAATAAAAAAATCAAAGTTTTCTCCACAGATGAACTAAAACGTCAGTTCGTCGACAGCCGTGCGAAAGTGGCGCTCACGAATAAGGCATCATTAATGAAGGTGCTCACAGCTTCTCGTGAATCGCCGTACATGAAAGTAAGCTAGAGATAACATATCAGTTTAAATGGATCACTGTTTTTAGAGGCAATCCTTGACAAATTCGCTATCAGTCAACTCATGAGATGTGCTAGTGCACGCATCGTGGAAAACTTCAAACTTTTTCTACTCCAACCTCTGAGGTTGTCCGTTCGCCAGCACCGGGTCTCATCCAGTAACAGGGGAGATTTGGTGCGATAGTTGCTGGCCCCTCCATTCCAATTTCATAAGGAGGGGTTCCTACCATTTGTCTTCGCTTTCACTTCGTGACTGTCTCCTTCCCTTGAGAAAACTTGGATAACTTTGATTCGAAATGTCGCACTACATGCCCCGCCTTACTGGATGAGACCTTAGCGACCTGTTGCATATTTCTGCACTTCAAAATACCATCCGTTCGTTCCTGAACTGACATGATTTCTTGGCTCAGGGGGACTCTTTTGATCGAGTTTTGGAAAGTATCGTTCCATTAAATCGCGTTGAAACCGCAAGAATTTGGTGCACTCGGAACACGTCATTATCCGTCGATGTAGATTGATCACATCTAAGATGAATACGAAAAAAACCAAATGGATTTTTGAGAGACGAAAGTTCAGGATATAATCTGCTATCAAGACGAGCCATGTGGTCATCTTCCAGCTGGAGTGCACTGTTGGAATGAGCATGTAGCCAAAACACCCGCTGAGGCGATCCCCAAGCCACATATCGACATAGCTAAGGATATCGTATCTGCCATAAGTTCGAGTGTGCACGTTTTACTCGCACTATATTATATTATTTTTTCATCTTTCTTCCTATCGTTATATTTGTTATTTATTTTTTCATTTATATTTTTATTTTACGGCGCCAAATACCTCACCCATTTCCAATATAACTGTGAAACAGATCCATTTCACTATTTTATTTCCAACTTTTGATGATTATTCAATTCATTGTTGAAATTGATTCTTTGTATCTATTCTCATGTAACAACAGGAAAGAATCATCACATAACTGTGATTCTTGGTATCCCTCTCTGTGACTATCATAATCACTTACAAGCAGGGCAAGCCCGTGTCTCACTTATTCACTGATTTTATAAGTCACTGAGGGAGGCTGAGTGAGTATCGGCTGGTGGAGTTGAGGTGAGTACCCCACAGTTATGGATTTCACTTTGCGGTTCATAAGAATGGGTGAACACTTGGCCAAATGCGAATTCATGTGAGGCGGATAGGCAGCATTTGATTGTTTTGAAATGCTTTCAGGCCTTTGACAACGACTAATTTGTCAAAACGTTAGGCTGAATAAGAATTCCACCATACTAAACCTGTTTGGAATTTGCAATAATCTAATAGTTTGAGCACTCCCGAGGACTTTCCCAACTCGTGTCATAAATACGAATGTTAGTGGACTATGCGCTTCCTCTGTCTTTCCTAATCAATAAAAAAAACACCCAAGAACCTTAAATACATATTTGAAGTTATCAACTTTAAACATCGTCAAAGTTGCGACGCGTAGATTAACATAGATAGCGAATATCTTTGCTTTCCGTACCGAGCTCAGCCAAAATTATCATAGAAGAATAGAAAGAAAGCTTTTCATGTAAGTTGATTAACCCATGCAAGAACCAGAAAAGAAAAACAAACGAAGGCGCAAGGACTAGAACTGAAATGAAATTCTTCAAAGTAATTCCGTGATTCCATGTCTAATGAACGACGGGAGCACCAAAAGGTGTTATGGTCTCTCATCGAAATTTCGGCACTATGATGAATATCTACAGACAGTGAGTGTAGGCATTTACGTCTTTTCAGTAGTTTTCAGTTTTTTCTTATTTTTAGCTTTCTCGAGCTCTATGTTCACTCGATAATGACAAATTTTGTCTTATATTAGGTCGGTCCATAAGTCTTGCAACAAACTGGCCGAATTTTGAATTTAATATTTTCATTATCTTTTTGTTCCATTCATCCGGCATGCTACCCTCCATCAATATCTACAACCTATTGCCAACACACTAGTAGCTGCTCGATGCCTCCCTTGTAGGACTCTACTGAATTCTGATCGAAGAAAGATCAGATGTCGATTTTGACATCATCATAGTTAGGATGAGCTTTCTTCTCTAGGAGATGGTTTGGAGAGGGGAGCAGAAAGGGCATTATTTGCCTCGAGGTCAGGGCTATAACGTGAATACGGAAGAACTCTCCGTCCCAGTCTCGAATTTTCCTGAATTTTCTTAGCAAGAGGTTTTTCAACGGTGTCATACAAAAGCAAACTTTGCCTTGTTTTTCTTTCGTATTAAAAGCGTTGCATTCGAGCTGTGGATAGTTGACTTTCGCGTTGACTGCGTCATCTACACGTAGGGGTTTCCAGAGCTTATCTCCTCTCGTGTTCCACCAACCAAATCCGAGAAGGCCCTACTTGGACGAGGTTGAACTTAAGCAATAAGATCTCCCGAAGCGTTTGAGCTGGACTACCGCCGCTTGTTCATTTGTTAGTAAACTGTACCCACTCCTCATCTTCGGCAAATGTGATGGATGGTCAATCGTAGAATCCCTAGTAAGTCGACTTGAACATAACGGTGTCAGATCGTGTTTGGAGCTGAATCGGGCTCAAGGCACGTGGGGACCAAACTCTACATTTTCGGATCTTCACAAGTCTTTGGAGATGCCACAGTGCTGTCTCCTTGTCGCATCGGAATCGCTCTAGCAAATGATCGATACTCTATCCAGATCCCTTTTCAACGGCGTCAGATAGAGCATCGTGATTGTCAGTCACAGGGTGGTTGGAGTGTGGGTTATTTTCAAATAAAAAAAGTCAACGCTGAGCAGAGTGAAGCGCCGTTGCACTGTGGTTTGAGAGAGCTTGCCCTCGCCTATCTTCTGGCCAATCCTTGGTCTAGCATGACTTGCGGAACATTCCAAGCAGTACTCGTAAAAATTAAGGGCATCGAGAGCCCTCTCGCGAAATCGGTGTAATATCCATAATAAGTAAGCAGACAACGAGCTGGACCGTTGGCTGAAATTGCAAAGGTTGATGCTACGTCAGGAAATATGTTGCGGATTTTCAGGAGTTCTCCCTAAAATTCTATAGCATTAAATGTAGTTTGTTGCAAGACTTATGGACCGACCTAATATTTACGTGGACGGCTGAATAATTCCTTAGAAGGATGCAGATGTCCTAACTCCAATATCTCGAACATATTGCGATGCGCTATAAATGCAATAAGTTTCTCGCAAGTTCCGGGTAGTATCTGATCCCCTCATGACACAAGTGGACTTCATACGTCGCTGAGGCACTGTCACAGATGAAAGATGATGCCTTCATCCATTCTCACAGACACAGTCTTGATCCTCTCCCGCTTTCCCGGCCCGCATCTCTGACTGAGAAATAGTAGACTTGGCCACCCAAAGGAATCAATATGGGTGGGGAACTAGAGCCGTTGCCGCATGGTACTTGGCATCTCTTCTTCCCGGATTAACTCTATTTCATATTTATTAGCTGGCTCGGGCTGGGCTTTACCGAAAAAATCCTTCCGGTGGATAGAGCTGCTTTTCTGTGTATAATATCGCCACTGCAGTGGTTGTCTGACACATTTGCCACCTCCAATCGTCACTGAGATCTCAGACTTACGACTTGATCCTCGCGCCCACTAGGACCCATGCCGCTTACCGTTGATTATCTTATTCTGGTCGTAACGTTGACACTGCTAGTTCTCAGACTTCTTCTCCCTTCTCGCAGCTCACATCTCCTCCTATCTCGCTAGTGCTACTTATGGTTAGGCTTCTCCGCAGCGTAAAACCAGGAGGTTTGCATTTCTATTGTTTTTGACGATTTCTCTTCCTTTTCTCCATTTGTGGTCCACTGTTCCCTATCCTTTCATATTCGATCGCTTCGATTCGCGTGATGAGATTCTGATCGCCCTTTTCTTGAGGCACGATGACAACATATTGCGGAGCCTGAACCGTCATGGGATTCTCGAGAGACAAGTCATTCTGTTTGCCGTCTAGCACTGCTATGTTCGTAACAGAAATCTTTGACCTGAATTCGAAAGATCTGGATGCCGTATTTTTAAGCGCCTGCTCATGCTAACCTGCTCAAAGGCAACGTCGCTGTTATGATGAAACGCTTCCAACCAGAACTCTTTTGCGAACTATTCAACGTCACCGAGTATGTTTTTTGAAGCCTACGAAGTGGCCTATGAAATGTTACTGCCTGCTCCCTCACTAAAACAGGGCCAAGCATCACAAGCTGAGATGAATGTTGATGAATATGAATGAGTATGAATGATGAGGGATACCGCATAGAAAGAGAATAGTGTCCTTCACAGACCATACACCACAAGTGACGACGGCTTCCAAAATGCAATGTTTTTGCCAATGAAATGATTAACCTGTTACAGTTGTATTCGATCAGTTGACAGTAATTACAACTATCATTTACTAAAAATCAGCTATCACTATGAACCACTACTAACCAGATTTACTTGGAGGCCGTCGTCACTTGTGGTGTATGGTCTGCACCGCACAATTTCTGGCTTTTTGAAGGGAGGAGTATGATCATCTTTAACAAAAGGTGAGCTGTAGGAAGCCCGTACAACGCCATCTACCGACGTCTTTGAATGGACATGAAATCTGAGTTTGCATTCCACCAACTAATTTACACTGTCCCCTGTGGATTTTTTTTTGAATCATTTGTTCGAAGGAGTTTTTTATAGTAAACACCAAGAAATAGCCTGGTTTCTGACTTTCTTTTGAGTCCAAAATTCCAAGCGATTAATGCAGTGATTCAGATCAGATTCATTTCTGTCGCACCACCTATCCTTGTGTTCCTCTCGAAAAGTCCTGTTTGCGAGCACTATGATCTCAGCTCATTGGAGTTCATAATGAGTGGAGCTGCACCAGCCGGAAAAGATTTGTGTGAGGAAGTGCACGAAAGACATCCAAATGTTAAGTTCATCCAACAAGGTAACATTTCCTAATATGTGCAAATGTGCCTCTGAGTCTTTGATCTTGAGCGTTTAGCGTACGGCATGTCGGAGGCGACGATGACCAGCCATCTACCCGACACGATTCTTGGTCAGCCTTTTGGAAGTGTTGGAAATTGTGCTCCAACATTGGAATAAGGTAAATTCTATCCTGTTATTTCAGGGCAGGATCTGAAGGAGTGCAGGCGTGTTTTTGGTACCATAAGTGAAGGGTCCCATTCAGGACAGTTGTTAGTCGTGGGTAATCTTTGCTCAGTTGCGCTGCAACTTCTCAGAGCCAGCATTCTTGATTAAAATTTTGGTCGACTATACTTCACCGTGGTGCCATCCGTAGCTTTATTCACACCATGGGGGTGGCGCGGCCGAATCGGAGGCGCTCTACTGTTGCAGGTGGTCTACACAGCGTTATACAGCATCAGCTCATGCGTCCTTCAAACGCGATGCCATGCAGCTTCTCACAGAGGAAGCTACTGCTGTTCCAGACTCTGCGGCGATCAAACGATTTGAAACTTCCCCCAAAAGGCACGACACTTTGAACTGCGACTGTCCCTCTTTTGCACATCGATTCTCCCGCTTTGCCCGAGCTCTCAATGCTCGTGCACCGCAGGAAAGAATCCGATACGCACTAATTTAACCTTACGCGACGGCACGCGCTAGAGGCGGTAAAAAGGCCGGCCGGCACACAGGTCCGCTCACGCAAAAACGTCGCCGTCCGTTATGGATTGAACAGTGTCTAGTCGCCAGTACATCGTTCTATCGGCCGGTGCAACGGTCGTATCTGGCGATTCGCTAGCAAAGTCTACCACTGGCCTACCGAGTCACCCGGCCACACCCCAAAGTGTGAGAGAGGTCACGAAGCTTGTTTGATCACATACGACTTACATGGCAAACAGCTAATATACTATTAAAGAGCTTCATGATAAGGTGCTATATGTATGATATAACCTACGAGCTCAGAAGGTAGGGACGACAGGCTGCCATGGAGTAGAGTGTATGCGACTGATCCGCCGGCGAGAGTGATGTGAAGTTGTAGACGAAGAGCTTCGAAAAGGCTGTTATGGGAGACCACCGAACGTCGACTGACTGGAGCGAGGCGCGCGGGCTCATGTTATAGATCGAGGATAGCTTCCCATGCTCCGGCATATCTTGCATTCGAATGGCGAGAGAGCAGATCCATAGCTGGGAAAGTTACACCTCACCCATAAAAGTTGTGAGAACGTAAATGGGGCAAGGTTGAACATGACTTTAGTCGTGGCGAAGGTCTTGACAACATTCCTCGATGATATGTAGAGCAAAAAGTTGGTGTTCAACTAGAGTGTCCTTCTTCTGAATCAACTGCGAAGATACGTATGAGGTGGTTCATCAGCGGCAATGGCATTCAGTCATACTTGGATTCGGCTTCGCCTCCGACACTGCTCCACCTCCGCAATATCCGATTCCCTGGGACCCTTTGAACATGGGATGTTATGACAAAACAGAGCGATTGAATTTCTAAATACCGTCCAATTCCAGATTGTCGATCCTGAGACGGGCAAAGAGCGAAGCGGCGGCGAAATTGGCGAAGTGTGCATCAGGGGACCAACAGTGATGCTCGGCTATTTTCATAACAACGAAGCCACAGAGCATTGCATAATTGATGGATGGCTGCACACTGGTATGTAGCTGAAGATCTTGAAAAATTTTAAGGATTTGGCTTTCTACTTCTGACCATTATATTTTCACGATTTCGTTCTCTTAAATGCTGTCGGTGAAGTGTTTAGAGAGCGTTGATTATCTCAAAGGCACACCTCACGATCAAGGTAGGATATCATTGATAGAGACATAATGGACCGACTGCGAAAAGAAACCTTTTTAGGAAGCTCAAATAAGGGCATTTTCTCTAGGGTGTGAGAGTTGAGGCCAGAAACAAGGGGAGATGGCAAATACTAATTCGGTAAGAGAAATATCAGAGGTGTATCGGGTCGAGCGCGGAGTAAATGACGGCCTCGATTAATTTCCAGGAGTTATTCGTTCTTGTTGGAGTCGTAGGATCCTGAATTCTTGCCATTTTATCCGCGGTATTTCTTGCAACGTGTTTTGTTATATTTTCATGCTTGTAAACAGATCTAATTTTTCGGGGATAGAATTAAGGTATTCAGGTGATCCGCATTCTCGAGCTACCTTATATGTACTTTGCTAGTACATGCAAACAGCATTAGAATTGAGGTACAATGAGACTCGGCAGGACTAGAGATCCAGTTGTGCGCGCAATTGCGGTATAACTTAACATTTAGAGGCTTTCTGTCAGAGGTTTAGAGTATCTTTTCTATGTATCACTGCGAGATGATTTAACTAGATATATATAGTACAACGGAAAAGATTGAGAATTTCCTATTTTCTTCGTCTCTTTATTGAAATTGTCTTCTTACAGTTTATTCAGTCTGATATAGTAGCGCCAACTTAATTTCTTTTCAACTTTAACTTTATTTTTTCCGAAACATGGTCTTAATTTTGATATATTGCGATATCTTCTGTTGCGGTATGTCTTTGCGGCTGTCCCAATCTCTTTCATCGCTTCCCTCTGGCTTATGGTGTCAGTGACAGAAGAACTTGAAGGGACACGTTGATCTTAATACATGGTTGCGATAAGCCAAAGTTATGTCCCCAGTAATGTGGGAGCGGCCCGAGTGGACGTTCGTCCTGATGGAACCATCATCCACTTGCGATGCTCCATATGTCACCAACTGTTCCTAGCGAGAGGCTGTACTTTGATATTTTGCTTCATCGCCGATGGAGGGAGAACGCCTTTGCTTCCAATCGGCGGTTGTGTTGTGAAGCTCTTAGTTCTCACTGTTGCCTAGAGATAGACCCGCCCGACGACCTTCAGTCAATATTTGGGCAGACCTTTTCTAATGATTTTGACGTGAGAAGATTCAAAAGAAATTTAAGGATTCTGGAGGCGCGGCGCGGCATCTCTAGCTGCATTTCTATGCTCGGCTTGGGTCTGAAGGCCCGTGCCAAATGGAAGCCGGTTTGTTTCCTTACCTTGGTCCCTCTCTGCTATCATTTTCATTTTGAGTTCCCTGACAGTTCCTTTAATTTCTATGCAACCATGTCAAATGAATGAACGAAAATGAAGTTCAACATCTTCTACATTTAGAGTTTCAGTAAGTATTATACACGCATTTGCATTTCGCTATTTACTTCATTTAAGGCGATCTCGGTTACGTGGACGACAAGAACTACCTTTTCGTAGTGGATCGACTCAAGGAGCTCATCAAAGTGAAGGGATTTCAGGTAAACAACTTAGAACGGGACCATGAATACGGCTGCTGAGCATTTGCACAACTCAGTAGAAATGTGAGCGATAGCTCTTCAAATTATAACTTTGAGCGCTACGTATGGAACTCAGATCAGTGGGCTGAACCTTCCAAAAAGCTTGTGGCTCTTTTGGACCCGATCTGACTCTTTGTAAGAGACGGGCAAATCACCGACTTACCACCGGTTGTCCGCTGACATTGCTCCAGTCTTGGATGCAACTTAAAATAAACGGGAGCCTGGTTTTGAAAGCACTAGTATCCTGCTTTCCATTTGCTTAAAGCTCTTTTTTGTTCAAGCACGTTCCTCATCGAGAGATGTCTCCGTCAAGAATCTGTCGTGGAAGCTGGACATACGTTTTCGGTCTCTGAAAGGCTATGACCCTCTCTTTTGTTAGCTTCTGCAAAACTGTAAGCAGCTTCTGAATAGAGAAGGATTCCAGATCCCTAATGTTCACCAACTTATTTTCAAGCTCTCTGTTCCGCGTGGTGTCTGCGTGAAGAAATGTCGAGAAAAAACTTCCTCGAAAACTGTACTCCTCCATGCCCTTGCAACGAACTTCTTTTAAAGCTCTTGATGGAGATACATACAACATGATACTCACGAGGTCGACTGTCGTTCTTGTATGGGTCATATACTTACAAGAACCGACTCAGCGCAATTTTAAAGGTGTTCTGTCCACACGAAGACTTATGGTTGGTGTTTTGAACCTGAAAGCGTTTTTACTTTTATTATCTAGGACACTCCTCAGTGGCTACAGTATAGTCTCATCGTTTCCATCGTTCTATGTCGTTTTTACTCATTTTCTTTCCCCATTACCCGAATGGGTTTGCTCCATCCGGAGATCGGCGGGGGCGAGACACGTGCTTGTGCTGTGGCGTTGCGGCCCCCGTGCACGCCCAAAGCGTGCGGGTCCGGTCGCAGGAACTCTTCAATGCCCGCTGCTGCACGCGGTTTCTTGGGGCGGGGGGGATTGAGGGTAGCTGACCGGTGCGATGGTAGACTGGTTGGCTCGTCTCCCGTCCAGGGCGCGCATAGTAAGAGATGTGATTTCGCGTTGTGGGACTATCGTGATCGGCGTTGGTTTTCTTCTGCAGTCAATTAACTTCAGACCTCGGTCAGACTCGCGCGATGGCGCTGGGACATCGGCGACGGAGCGCCGGCTAACCTCCGCATATCCTAGTGCCGGGTCAGTGAGGCTCTTGAGACGCGTGACCGTTATCAGCACACGATCGACTCCACTCTGTGCTCTCGAGACCAGGTCAGCGGACCACCCATCCAAGCAACATGAACGATCCTGGTACGCCGTGTAGATGCTATGTGAATCTCCCTCGACGCCGTTTGTAGCCACTCTTGGTCCGGGCGGCTCCGTCGACCGCTGCTCTGTCTCTTAATTCTCTAGTCTATAGACGAAATCGCCGTAGTCGAGACTGATGAGCTCACTCGCTACTCTCTCATTCATACAATGATCTCTCACTTTATTACCATCCCCACTAATCTAGCGCTAGCTCTCATAATGGTTCCAACATCCCAGGTCACTTCCACCTGCACCGGCACCACTCCTTCCACAACCGTGTCCCGTTCCACAGTGCGCCTTCTGTCCCTATCACGGTACCACCCCTCCCCATTTCGAAGAAACTAAGAGCGCTCGAGTGCAGATCACGACAAAGCACAAGTGACGAACGGCCAGAGAAAATTAATCGAAAAAAAGCACTCTTTTTTTACCGTCACTTTCGATAATTTGGTGCCCCTTGCCCTCCTCCTGTGTCGTTACGCATCCTTCTGTCTATTCACATATCTCAGAGTGGTCAATACAAATGCATTCACGGTCTCGCCGCAACACACTAGTCTCGTCTCTTTAAGTTGTGAACGGACATCACTTATCTTGCTGTCACATCCGCAGATTCGGGATGCAGCTGTGATTGCAGTTCCTCATGATGAGAAAGGAGAGGTTCCAAAAGCATACGTCGTGCGCACAACAGACACCCTTCGCCCGCAAGGCCCTCGAACGCGAGACGCCGATGATGTGAATGCAAAGTGTTATAGCTCTTGCATCCACCCGGTGTTGGGTTTTGTTAAAGCATTTGTGTCTCAAACCAAAGTAAATCACATTGTGGGGAGGTCGCACGGACCATGGCCAAATTTTTAGAGTGAACCCTTTTCAGGTCAAGTTTCTTCATACAAACATCTGGAAGGAGGAGTTGAGTTTATGGAAGCTATTCCAAAATCACCAACAGGCAAAATACTCAGGCGAGTACTACGGGATCGGACTAAATCGAGATCTCAGTGAAATGATCGAACTATTCATCACTGAGATAAATTTCAAGTTTCAGTCTATTGCACCAATAAATGTGAAGATTCGATTTGTAGTTGTATTTCTGTAGTCATAATAAACTGCTAAATAGTAGTACAGAGCCATGGCAATTTTAAAGGAAAGCTGGCTTTACTGCCCCGTTTAACTATTCCAATCAGGGTCAACCGTCCGTTGGACAAAGTCCAACGCGACGACGAGAGTAATGCCGAGAGTGAACGTACGCACGGAGACACAGACGGCTCGCGGGTGGCGAGAGTGAATGCCGGCGCGGAGAGCGGTGAACATCGGTCCAACGTCGCTCCAATATCGGTCCAACGTAACGGTTGACCCTGTTTCCAAAGATTTTAGCAGGTGACGACTTGAAACAAGCGCAATTCTGAACTGGCGTGATATTCAGGTGGTTAGGTTGTGCTCGTAATGACTTCGTATAGAATACCTTCTCTCATTGACATTCAGTCACACCACAGGATGGCACCGTGAGGGTCAACCATCCGTCTGGCCGATCCAGATGGACGATGTTGTATTTGATCTGTGTAGGTGAGGATGGCAAATGCAGCCGCTAGCGGTTGAAATTGTTTCCGTCGACAATTTGAATAGTTCTAAGGTGCGACAGTGCAGGTAGGACACGGCTGCTTCACGACTACTCGTTACGGTTATGCGCTGTGTTATCCGTTCGGACGGCCGAGGAGAGTGAGGGAGTTGAGTGAAACCTTTCCAAGGGCATAGCTCTCTAACTTAAGCATTTTGGAAAGGTTTAGGTGAATCTGAAACTGGAGAGACGTCCGCTTCGTTAGAGGCACTCCGAACTTTTCAGCCTGACAAAGGCCTTAAAGGCACGGGTCGCGATGAGATTCTTGGAAAAATTCTCCAAGGAGGAGAAGTGAGTGAGGTAGCAGAACCTCCAATCATAGTAATACTGCCGCAACTCCGAGTACTCGATTAAGGATCCTTCGTTTGACCGCTGCAACCGCTGCTATTCTTGTCAATCGCAGCATACGTGGCGTCTGTGCCTCTCGCATGCGACGTGCTCTCTCGCGTTTTCCCTCTCTTGCAGCGCTATTTCTCTCCGTCATACCACACTCGATCTCACATGAAAAATTTCAGCGTTTTCCAAAGCTCTTTTACTTCCTTCCTCCACCATCTCTCCCTTTGCACTCCTTGCTTAGATTTCAAGCAAATAACGCATCAAATCGATCGCGATCAGTTCTTCAAGTTATCCAGCGTTCGTGAAGAATAAATGTGAATTGTTCGTAATCAATAATGAAAAAAGGTTCTTAAAGACGACACTATGATCGCTTGTCGGCTGTGACTAAGAAAATAAATCGTGTTTTGACGCCATTAGGTTTTGCCCCCCGGGCCACTTTTGGACTTCATGCTTGCATGGACCACCGAGGCGAATCTTGGTAATGTTCTTGAAACAGAGTTCAAAAACTGCATGGTCGGACGTTAGCTCGGAGCACTTTATATGTAACATTATACGAAGTTACAGGGCGGAAGTGGTGTAGTGACAAGTGGCGCGCTTACCACGCGAGCGGTCCGGGGATCAAATCCTGGGTCGTGAGTCGCCCGGGCCAACCAAGCCTTCCATCCCTCCGGGGTCGGTTAATTGGTACCAGACTTGTCTGGGAGGATAAAAACACTGACTTGTACATCGGCTGGCCCCCGCAAGTCATTGTATAGGCCACATCGCATTCAAACGCCACTGCGAATGTACAAATGGAAGTAGAATGCGTGCCGCATCCCAAAAAGGGATTGATCAACGGCAAATGCTTTATCCTTTATCCTTTTTAACCAAAGTAGATTCTTGCACCGCCATTTTCTGAACTGCTAAGGTCAAAGCGAGCAGAATAATTTAGGTTTATGTGCTGAGAAAAGTGAAACACCATGGCACTGAACGAGGAACTCATAAAGCTGCATAAATTTCTTAGAAGGCAGGAATCTATTAGGTCTGTAAGGAAAGTTCTGACCATTAATTGCATAGGTTCAAGTTCATACTACATTGATTTGGCTGGCTAAGTTTCCGGCAGGCTTGCATATTCTTTGATGAGCGCGTTTTTTTCGCTTTATCCAGATTACGCACATATAACTTTGGCTCATGAGAAACTACTGTATCTACTTATTTGTAACGCCTTTGAACTACAATCAGCTCATCGGCGGCGAAACTCTCAAATCTTCTTTTCCGTACCTCAAAAATAGGGCAGATAGGGAGCGAATCAGACTTCACGATATAAACCATTCCTTTGGCCACGCATTTGCGGAAACTATTTATGAAGCGATAGATTGGATAGCTTGTACAGGGATGGGATAGGCTCGAAGTTGCGCGAGGGTGATCGTTAAATGTCGAACTTCATCAAAAATTACCTGAAACATTTGATGGAATCAACAGTATGCTTGAAACAGTTGAGAAGATTACTACCGAATTCAGCGTATATTTGTGGTTTCAACTCACGTGGGATAGCTTAAAAAGCACGGAAAAGTCAATAAGGAGGTGTCGCGAAAAAAAATCGCGGTTCCTTAGGGCCGTCTGCCTTTCTTCTCAATCTTTCATTCAATCGAAACGACCCGTGTTTGTTCGGATTGTGAGTTTGTGAATGTGGAATGGATTGCTTCTCATTAACCCTTATCGAACATTCGCGCGTGGAATGGTCTCGATCGCGCAACTTTAGGGTAAACAAAATTTTCGCAAATATGAAACTGCTGTCGAGGTAGAAGCATTGGTCGGGGCTTGTTACGCGCGTGCTACATTCAGGCGGCAGCTTTCGAGCGCCAAGGCAGGAACTGATTAGTCGGGACAACACTCTTTGTCATGGTTCCGCAATATCCCAAAATGTTGGACGTTTCGCGCACCAGCATAACACTGCCATAAAATGAGCCGACTCCTTTTACCGCGATGCCACCTCAAGCCGTTGACCGCAAGGAAACGACCCGGCAAAAAGCGAACCAGTGAAGTACTGACTACTTGTCACCAATAAAAAACAAAACGTCCACTCCCTAGACCTCTTCCTATTCACCGCCACTTTTTCAACGGTCTGGATAGCACCTTAAAGGGGAAATGCTGCGAAATCTAACATGATGGTGAAACGACCTTCGCCGAGTTCATCGCCTCTAGAACTCCAGTACTTCCAGTGAACGGATTGATCAAACACACAGAGGAGTAAATCCAGCATGTTTTTTGATTGCGATCGCAAACGTTGCGTATGAGTCGAGATATGCCCAGTCGAACTTCGTCCGAAACGGCCAGAACTTTCCTTACATACCCCTATACATATTTTTCTAGAAACAGAAACATGGGCGAAGGAAGGTGCATAGACAAGGTAGGAGGTATATTTTTTCATTACCACTTCTCATTCGCTTATCAGTGCGAGTAACAATAGAACCGTCTCGGCATCCGGTTCTAGTGTATTCCTTCATAGGCAGTATAAATGGAAATGGAGCGCAGTTTCCTGGTATTCCATGAATGTTGATAGCCTCTGCGTTTCAATTACTTCAACACAACTCTAATATATTAAGTATTCAGCATTTTTAAAGGCACACTCTATGATACTTTCGTAGTTCCTCGAGGGATAAAGCGTTACGATGGGTTTATCTAGCCGCAAAGTGGTGCCTTTTTCGCCACCTCAAAGCCCACTCGAGCGAGATGTTCTTGGTGGGTGGGAGCTTGGCGGGAGGGGGGGGGGGGGACATCAATGGAAGCAAATTTTTTATTATCCGTCATGGCATCTGCGTCTCTCGCTGGTCTCCTATGTTCTCTAGTTTGAGAACCTCCGTCTAACCTCTATACCCAGAGTCTCTTTGATTATTTGCCCCGTAGAGCATCATGCACTCGTTCTCGTCCATAGCCTTGTTACCAATACTGTGCTCTAGAATTCTTTCCTTTTCTCCGTTGCCTTTTACCACGTTCACTTTGACTCTGGTGATCATCAAATGCGCCTTCAAATAATTAGGGGGGGGGGGGAAGTTTCATAAATAAGCCTTTCTATACAAACGATACTAGACAAGCGTGGCATTTACGCGATGATCGTTCTGGACTTTTGAACGGCCTGAAACTCCTTTCTCTCTCTTACTTTGATAGTGTTGACTGTCGAATTTTTGCCAAGTACGTCTTGTCCCGCAAAGACATCAAAGAATACAGAGCACTTTGCCATGTTACTTCGACCTTGTGTCCACTTAATCATCAATAACAAGAGGACGTAAATAAAACAAAAACACATCTCGAAGAGAGGCCGCTGTTGTAGGTAAGAAAAACTAATCCCGCCCTCTAGTTCGCTGACAAATTGGCGCTTAATGGTCTTCATCGCACGTCTGCCAAGGTGTACTCTTGTCATTCGAACCCTGAACCTACGTCTTTTCCTGAGACGATTTTCCTTTCAGTATTGTAACTGAAAATGTTGTATCGACTCCTTTTCCGAATGCTGCCGACGAGAACGACAGTAAATCTTTGGAGAGAACCGATTATTATCAACTACCTCACTCAAGGCGAGTTCCCACGATTACTTGTCAGAACAACTTACGTCGTACTTACCGTTCATAGAAGTAAAACCTATTCCACTAGGTGGGCAATAGATGTGGTTTTTGGAGTATAAAATAAACTGGGGTGAACTGAGTTTGCTATCGATTTTGGTTCTGGAATTCCTTCATGGATATTTTTCATCGCGGAGGGAAAATACGTACTGTTGGACCGTTAAGTGAGAAACTTGCAAAAGGCGCCAGAATTGCACACATGAAAACCCTGAGCCTAACTGCGATTGAGATAGTGCTGCTCTCTCAGGCCTTCAGTAGATCCTTAGTCTCTCGCTAAGTCGTTAAAACGAATAAAAGTCGCACCATGTCGACAGCGTGACGGCCGCAAGGAGCGTACGAGCCAGTTTCACGTGGGTCGGGCTAGTTCTGGTCACCTAGTTTTGGTTCCTCGTTATTTATCAGCGATTTCTCGGGGAAAGATTCAATATAGTATATATTGTAAGCGAACGAGTAGTAAGTACATTCCAATTTACCCTCATGGAATATTTTTCAATGATAATGGACATCCGGCAGAGAAAAAATTCAAAAAAAAAAAAACACAATGCGAGG